CTGTCGTGCCGGGCGGTCTCGACCGGGCACCGGAGCAGAGAGCCCGTACCAGGGCGGCAGCCCTCGAGGTACGGCCTGACGAGCACCGCCAGGAACTCGTCCTCATCGCGGGCGACGGCGGTGAACTCCGGCAGGGTGTCCAGGCGTATGACCCTTAGGTAGTTGGCCGCCACCTCTGACGGGCCGAAGAGGGAGAGAAGCATCTTTCAAGGCGACCTGTCGTTGTGGTAGACCGCCCCGGCGAGGCTGGTGCGGACGTTGAAATCCTCGGGGCGAACGGGACCGTGAAGTACCCCCCGGCGATGTGGGCCGGCATGGCTGGGCCAGGATGGGGCGGGGGGGGCGGGCGAAAGGAGAGAGCCAGGGAGAGCTGGGCGCCGGGCACAGACGACTTGGCAGAAACCACAGCGCCCCTAAATCCCCGGCATGCGCGCCGAAAAGTAGGCTTTTACGGACGCACCCCCCTGGCGCCCGGGGCCAATGCCCGTCGGAGGTTGACTGCCCACCCGACGTGGAGGAGGCATCCTCTCGCCTCCTCCTCGTGTCGGCGCTTTCGCCCGACGATGAGCCATGAACTAAACCGGGCTGGGAGACTCAGGCTCCTGGCGGTGGGCTTCGCCCGGGAAACAGCGCTTGCACAGCGCCGCGCCTGGCGGCGGCGCCGAAAGCCGGAAGAACTGGCGGCAGCCAGGCCAGCCGCAACCCGCCGCCCTCCAGGCGGCCCTATCAGCCATGGCCTCCTGGGCGTCAGGTCTGTGAACTCGCCTCGACCTGGCGAGATACACGTAATGGTCGGGTCCGGCGTCCCCCTCCGGCACTGCTCTGGCCGGGGCCAGGTCAGGCACACACTCAAATGCCGGGCGCCCGGACCCCTCTCCCTGGGCAGCCTCCTGTGCCGCGGTCATCAACCAACCCCAGCTTAGGGAAGGGGAGGGCGGGGCACAGCACAGGCAAGACGGCGCGAACTGACCACTCTTTTTGAAAAACCAGGCGCCAGGCGTCAGGATCTAAGCCCGCAAAAGGGCGAGTGGCACAAAGGCCTCCGGGCGGCGGCGGGCTCAGAAGATCCAGGCCAGGCGAACTTGTTAAAGGCGGGCTAGTCCTCGAACCGCAGGCCGGGGCGCTCGGGCGGGCAGGCGTCGCATTCGTGGTGCTCGTGTGGACGCCCGCCCAACGGCGGATAGCACACCGGGCGCAGGCACCGGGCGCGGTGCGGACAGCGGCCGAGATGCCCCGACCTGCGGCCTGGGCATCCCACGAAGCGGTTATGGCCGTCCGGGCGGCGTGGCAGGCGGCCTCCTCTCACGTCCCGAGGCAAGGTGCGGAGGTCTGTGGCTGTGGCGAGACCGCCCCCGAGGCGAGCTGCTGCTCCAGGGCGAGCGCCGACTCCCACGAGTCTGCCGCCCAGCCGCGAAGGGTCATCGGCAAGGGCGTCGCCGCCATGGAGGCGCCCGGCTCGTGGAGCGGGTACCTGAAGTCATCCCAGGCCGCCTGGCGAGGGTCGGACGAGCCCCGTCTGTGAGTCCGATGCTCCGAAGCCGTGGCGCCCCTGGCCGCCCATCTCCAGCGGGGGAAAGGACGCCTTCGGCGGAGGCGGCACCGCCGAGGACGAAGCGGCGGCCCATGAGCCGCCGCCTCGGCGTTGAGGTAGTCCTGCCACGGCGACTCGATGCCGGCGTGGGGCGGCCCGTCACCGGTCGAGGGTGGGTGTCCTCCACCGCCTGGACCCGGCGAGGGGCTGGATGGCGGGGGCCCCGACGCCCGATCCGCCTGCGTGGCCGGGGGCGGACGCCGGCCGCTGGGGCTGGCGGGGGGGCCCATGGCGCGCTGCACGGCGAACTCCCTCTGATCTGAGAGGCCAGGGCGGTGTCGTAGTCCACATTGTCCGGCAGCTGGCGAAGCCCCGCATAGCTTCGGGCGGCCTGCTCCTGTCGGATGAAGGCCTGGCGCCGGAGAAATTCCCGGCGATGTGGATATACCGGCTCCTGGTCCTGGAGCTCTGGCGGGGCGGCCTTCTTCGGCACGGCCGCCGGCGGCGTGGGCCCTAGGGTAGACGCCATCGACGGAGGCGGCGTCGTAGATGAGCTCGGCGCCTCCGGCTCCAGCACCGGCGGTGCCTTCAAGACGGCCCTGGCGGTAGAGCTGCTGGCCGCCTCGGGCGCCGGCGGTGGTTGCGCCGCCATGTTAAGTGGCCCGGGATAGCCCGACGTAGGCGATGGCGGCGAAGTAGCGTCCGGCTCCAGGAATGGTGGCGGAGGGGCCTTAGCCACCGTCTTGGGCTTTGCCGCCGCCCGGATGGGCAGAGCCGGTGAAGCCGGAGGCGCCCCTTCGGCGGAGTCGAACTCGGCCAGGTAGGACGTGAGCGCATCCCAGCCCGCCTCTGGGAGCGGCGGGTCGGCGACCGGCTGAGGCGGGGTCCTGGTGGGAGCTGGGTCAAGCCCTTCCCAAAAGGCGCGCGCCTCCGGTGACGGCCCAGGATCCGTCGTGGGCTGTTCCGCCCCTGGCGCCAAGGATGCCGAAGACGCCGACGTGGACAAAGTCGGCGGGCCCTCGCCCGAGGCGGTGTCCAGGTCGGGCGTGGCATCGGCCTCGACCAAAGCCGCCCGAAGGTTCGAGGCATCCTCGGGCGAAAGAGCCCGGATAGCGGCCGCCAGGCGAGGCACCGACATGCCCGCGACGAAGGACCGGATAAAGTGGGCCTCGTACGTCTGGGTGCCCCGGTCGTTGCCGCCAGCCGGAGGGGGCGGACCAGTCGGAGCCGGGCTGTCGTCGAGCTCCAAGCCCCATAGATCGGCGACCTCAGCCCCATCGCCCCCAGCCGGCGAGAAAGCCTCGGCGGGCAAAATGCCCGGAGAGGCGAGCGCCTCGACAGGCGCAGGCTCCAACCCGTCGAGCGTGTCCAGGTCGATTCCACCAGGCGTAGGTGTAGAAGACACCGAGGTCGGGCCAGCGACCAGACCCACGCCCGGCGCCGCATCCGGGCCGGCCGCCCCAAGAGGCGAGGCGGGGACGGCGGCAGCAGCGGGCACGGGCGTGGATCCGGAGTTCGCCATGTCCCGACGAGAGGCGGAAAGGAAGAGAACACAAATCAAAGAAGTTGACGGGCGAGCCGAAATGCTGTTCGGCCGCCCGCCTGAGCTTGTTCCTACACACACACGTGTGTTACACAACATGCAACGCAGCAGCCCCGTTCCTGCGTGGGAAGAAGCAGCGCAGACTTGCAGGGATGCGCGGCACTGTGGCAGTAGAAGATCCTTCAGAAAGCCGTTGCAGCCGCTAGGGCGATTGAAATCCATGCATATTTTATGCACTGGAATATCTCACCCGGCTTGGTGCAGCCAGTTGCATTCTCAAACTCTTGGTCGGCGTGGATGTAGCAACCTCTTTATCTTGCCACTTCTTCAGCTACAGGCACTGAATTAAAGATCCCCACCGCACATACAGCAACACAACTCGCGCCGCAGAGATAGCACAGGCCGGGTTCACGAGGCGATGCATGAGTGTTAAGCCGTCAAGTTGCACTGCATGACTGGAAAAGGAATACCTAGTAACTGACTCTACACAACGGTGGACCAGGAACCTGAGGCTTTGCTGTGCATGCCTGCCTAGATCTGCCTAGTTCCTGCTGTCCAGGAGCATTGATCAAGCATCAGATTGCAGATTTCTGGCAGCTATGCATCGGCAGCGGGTGTGGCGCTCCACTTGTCACATCGAGTCTAGGCAACAAAACCAAGCATGCTGAGGATGGGAGCTGGTGCCGATCGCTGCTTCCAACGCAACCGAGTTGAACATGCACGTTCATCTTCTTGATTAAAATGGGGCGAAGTTCTTGAGTTCTGTGCATGATCTGAACACGCGGCAACCCCTTTAGGGTTCGCGGATCGGACTTGAACAGCTGCAGTGGGGACAGGCGACGAAGGAAAGGACTGCCGATGCTTACAGCGAGCGAAACGGACGTCGCACGTGAAAGAGTCATGCGTCACATCCTGTGGAGCCCCGACTCCCAGCTTTTGTCTGCAGTTTTGGTCGAAAGTTGGCCCTCAGGCCCTGGGGCGGCTTATGCCGGAGCTGCGCGTGTCTAACGGGAGGCAACGCTTGGTCTAGTTCTGCGTTGTCGTTTATGTACAAGCAGCAGCAAAGGGCAAAGACCCGAAGCTGCTGCATTGGAGTGAAACGACGAGCCATTGCTCGGCTCAGAAAGCCCCAGACTTTCTCGGCCGGGCCGTGTATTTTGTATCCTTGCGCACCTCGAAGCCAGGCGAAGGAGCAGTGCTTCTCGTGCACATACCGAGTCATGCAGACCAAGCACACCAAAACCCTTCTTTCGTTGGTGCTCTTTTTTCTTGAGGACCTGTCACGAAAACGACCGAACTGCAATTGGCAATCTGGTCGTGCAGACGACAGCTCAGCTCAACCAGCTTTCGAAACCGAACCTTGTCTTTGTAGGTGTCCTGGTTTTTGCCCCTCTTCTTGGACTCCCTCTCACGCTTGCTCACTGCCACCTGCGGCACTTGCGAGCGCCGACCTACATTCCCAGCTGATGGGCGTTGACGTCATACCTTAGGCCCCTAGGCTGAACAGCGCAAGCACCACGCCGGGACCTGCTCATCATCGTCCTCCATGGGCTGTGGCATGTTGGCTGGCTGCTCGCCAGACAGCCCAGCCTGCAGCCCAATCAGGCTTAGAAAGAGAGTCCTCTTTAAGACGGTAGCCACTGCAACTAAGCGGCATAGATGACCAGGAAGTGCTTCTTGGCTTTCGAAGAGTGGGGATAATCCTTGGGACTATTCCCCATAACTATGGCCTCACAGACCTTGCCTTCGCTTGTCTGGGGCATTTCTCATGCTGCTGGCTTGTTCGACACATCCATGTACACGTCTACAATAACTACCAAGCGCCCTTGCTCCGTAGGCTGGAGCTAGCAACTGTCAGCCAGGTCTCCACGACTAGGCCTCCTCCAAAGCCGCAGCGCCTCGGAAAAGCTAAGACATCCGTTGGGATGCAGCCGTTTCCACTTCAGGAACATCACGTCCAAAATGACAGCCCCCTGCCAAAGTCCTTCCAAGCCGGGTCTATGACAGCCCTTGTGTCGAAACCACGCATGCCGCGCTAATGCAAGCAATTGGCAAGGCTGCCGCGGTGATCATCTCCACCTCAAGGCCCACGGCTTTAAGCACATCAAAAGACACGAGTCACAGCCATGGCAGCCCCACCTGCGCAGCGGCCTCGGGGTAGAACTGCAGGGCAGCCCGCGCGCCTTTGCGAAGGCAGCCTTAGCAAGGCTGCAGGTTAAGATTGGACATCGGGCGAGGCAATAAGCAAGCGCCACCCAGCGCCACCGTAAACAGCGAGCACATGCATCCGAGGAAACTGTAGAGCAGCTCGAAAAAGCGCCGCAGGCGCTTGAAGGGCTCGTGCCCCTTTTTGTCCTTGGAAGCCGCAAACGCAAGCCAAGCTCCCATAGGCTGCTGAATCAAAACCAGCATCTTCGACGACGAGCGTCTACATTGCAAAGCCACTGCAACGCAGAGATGGACACGGCACCATCAAAGGTTCCCGGCCGGAACCTCATGCCTTGTCCTGCAGGGCAATGCTTCAAAGACTGGCTGACAATGATGAGAACATTGCCACCTGCTGCAAGTCTTTCCACTGCAGGTCCTGCATCGGCTAAGCATAGATCCCCATCAACCTTTGGCAGACACGAGGACTAGGCAGTGTAAGCTTTAAAGCTCATACACCACGACCATGTGCGAATGAGACCGCCATGGACGCTCTCACTCCATGACCAGCCAGCTGACCTCTCGCTGATGCGCTATCCTTAGCATTGAAGGTGAGATGTCGTAGCCGATCCAAATGTGCCCAGCCTCACCTCGGCAAGCCCCAACGGCCAATGCGAGGCGAGACAAGTCGGCACAGGTTCGTCATCACTTTCGAACTAAAACAGCGTCTAGAGAGTAAATCGGATGCTGCAAGACAGACAAGATCCACATGATCCATGACACCTGGACATATGATAGGCTGTTTTGAACGTACCCTCAAAATGGCTGGATTGGCATCAGCCGCGCAAGTGAAAATCGGTCGAGTCTCTGATGGTCTCGCCACCTGAGATGCGAGGGCATGAGCGGCATAAAGCAGTGGAAATGCAGCTTTGCAAATTCTTGAGGCAAGCATCTGATTCCCGAGCCGCATCCGATATCCAGAAGTAGACAGGGTCTGTCTGGTAGCAGCAGCAGCTGCAACGCACGTTCGGTCATCCTTCCGCAGGAAGTTGGTAGTCTAATCCCAGAATCGGTCGGGGGCTTGCTTGGACACGCCATCAACCTACAGCAGTACTGACTGACTTGGCGTCATGCCTCGCTCTGCCAAGTCCTTGTCTGGATGTCGATCATCCGGCTGCTGGTCGCATACCTGGCAGACCTTGAAGCAAAGTCTACGGGGAGAAGCCTGTCAGCAATTTGCCCGTCGTGCTCAGATTCCCAAGCCGTGGACTCCTCATCGTTGTAAAAGATTTCGGGAGGAGCCTCGTTGCCGTGTCCGACGTCGAATGCACCATGCAGCCAACAAAGATATGCAAGGTTTCGGCCTGATGTTCCGGGCGGCTCATGCTGAAGTCCAGCAGAACTGTGCTGACTAACGGGGCAACATACTTTGAGCCAAGACTTGCGGCATGGCTCCTACTCTTTTCGGCTTCCCCCAGCCAGCAGGCCGAGTTCTGGCGACGACTCCAAAGCACAGCCCTAGAATTGAAGCACAGGGCAGATGGGTTCTGCGATGATCACTTCAGCGCCTCAACGTGCAGCAGTGCCACATGGGTTTTCAGCGTGCATCCTCGCCTCACCGCCGTGCGCAATGTCGTCCACAACCCAATGCTTACTCAAATTGCTGCGGCTAGCCGAGGTCTGCTATGTCGGGTTCAAGCAATGCCCAACACATCTCAGCTGAGCACGGAAGCTGTCGAGCTGACTCCTGTACAGCCTTGGAAGGGCCACCACAATCTGGAGAGAGCAGTAGCGTACGACGAAATTGAGCCCTCCGCGCTCTTCAGATCGCCGCGATAGAAGCGCCATGATGGAAAAGACCTGGACTCCGATTGAGCTGCCAAGGAGAAAAAGCAATGCAAGGATGCAAGGCTTATCCCTGCGAAGAAAAGAAGGCCGTAACGCAATCTGCGGATGCATCCGGTACTGTTCGCTCAGAAACTGCACCTGGCCGGACTCTGACCTAACGGACCTAACGTGCAAAGAGTGATCTGCCATCAATGATGTGCCTCCATGCCCATGGACAGCAGGCGGTCAAACATGGAAATATCCAAACCTTTACGACACCCAGCCACACCCACGCACGTATGCAACTGCGAACGCAGGTCGAGCTGAGCCCCCGACCGCCCTTCTGAGCCTCCTGACAAGTTGCGATTTCCACTTCTTTTGGCCCATGTCGGCCCGTTGTGTTTCTCGGGGCCTGGGACAAGACTGTAGCAGGGAGCTGACATTGATCACCGACCTGACACGGGCGTTCGAGACGATCTGTAGTAATGCGTAGCACCAGTTTTCGCTGCGCAAGGCAGCAACGAGGCCGGTGCTAAGACTGCCTGCACTGCGCCTTTGCCCAGGGGCAGGATCACTGCGGGCCTCACCATGGAAGTTCTTTGTAGCCAGCCGTATGTTTTGGGCCTGTAAGCAGGTGGGGCAGCAGGCAGTCAGGCCGGTCATCATGGTTGGATGGATGTGGGTGGAAAGTTGGTGGCTGGCTGGGTGGGTAGGCAGGCAGGTTGTTGGGCAGTGTGGGAAAGCTCTTTTCGAGCTCCAACGCTTCAATGCAGCTCGTTCGGCTGCACCAACTGAAGCTACAGCCACTAGACGACACTGGCCGGAACTCCACCTGTCACAGGCCGCAGAGTCCAAGGAAGACTGACTGTTGATCAACATCCGGAACCAGATCTTTTGGCATGGTTTTCTGCAGGACTCTGCAGTCTGGTCTACAGCTTCCGGAGGTCGAGCACTTCGGAACTTCGGAAGTTCAGGAAGATTCCGGCAAACCTAGCTACAGTCGTCAGATTGGCGAAGATCAGCCGGCGTCTGGAGGCCGCGCAGTTCACATATCCACATTAAGATTTCCGCACTCATGCCTTCTTGTTGAGCATGTGAGTGCGTATGTGTTTGCATACAAACGTGGACACATGCGTACACATATGCGCTTGTACGAAAAGGCTCTGCCCTGCATGGCCACCCTTTGAAGGTTGGCCCCTCACCGCGTTCGCACGCAGGGTGAAGCCGGCACATACTCAGGGTGAAACGGTTGCTCCTGTATAGATCTATGTCACGAATCTATGTACAAGCCTTGCGTCAGGACGCACACGTTCAAAGCAGCTGCAGGAAACTACGCGAGGCAGCGACATCGCATGATGATGTAGGATAGTGCCACATCTTTCCGGCAGCCGCTTCAGGGTGCGAACTAAAGATTTCGGAGGAACCTGAAACATATCTTTTCACAGGCCCGTGCGGCTCGAGCAATGAAGGCTCGAATCCGATTGCTACAACCTTCAGTCCTCAATGAAGGTGGGACATGGCCTTGTGGCAGCTGTCTACAGCCTTCTCGCCGTGCCGTATGTAGGTGAACCACAGCTGGGACCAGTTCACGAATCTTCCCATGCCGTTGGAAGAGCATCCTGCCCGTGAGCGAAAGTGCAGGCATCACCTAAGTCCAGCTTCAGAAACAGCTGGAGATGATGAAGTCGCTGGCGGAGATATGCCAAGGTACCTTTGGTACATTTGCCTTCCTGCCAGAACTTGCAAGGAGTCAACCGCAAACAGCTGCCTTGGAAAATGGCATGGCATACGTTCGCAAACGGCACTGCACAAGATACTCGCTGAAACGATCACAATTGTGACCGAGTGGCTGAGGTCAGATCGGCGCGAAGCGAACAATCGGGCCATCTCCGTGTTGATGGGCTGGCCCAGTTCCTGTGGTCGCCACTACGAATCACTCCTAGAGACTACTCCCCAACAGACAGCTTTCCGGACTGCGGCGATCGTGCATCTTAATATCACAACTCGGCGCCCCAATGCGGTTGCGAGTCTTGCTCTCCATGAGCGAAGGTGCATCCAGGTCCCTGTGGCAAAATCGATGCTCACAGCGCGGGCCCTTTCGAAGCCATCGTTCATGACAGCCGAGCCTTTGAGCACTTGCCATCTTGCCAAAACTTGCAAATGATTTTCTTCCTCGCAGGAAGAGCCAAGGAAGTTATTTATGGCAGAGCAAGGTGGAATACTGCGAGGTTCATGCAAAGAAGCGGTCCTGGAAACATTCTGATCGTTGCCCTGCCCTTTCGCTGTAGGTGCCCAGCTGTCGTTGTGGATCGGCTGGCCTATCCTTCGCTGCATCAACGACTCCTACACATAGCAGGAGCAGGAGCAGCAGCAAGGAGCAGCCGAACAGAAAGAATTCATGACGTATTGCCGAGCTATCAATCGAGACTCTCATGATCGCCATGAGCGAAGGTGCAGGCATCTCCCTTGGTGCATTTGTTTTCCTGACGGGGATGCACCAGCACGGCTTCAACATCTCAGCTCCATGGCGCTCATCATGCCAACACGCCGGGATGCACTGTTGCACAAGGCGCTATGACCGCTGCTGAATGCGTCAGTCCTACCGGCGTAAGTCAAGAAGCCTGCCAGAACTTGCAGAAGGTGCGCTTGACGGATGGATTGGCGTTGCCAGGTGCTTCCTTGGGAAAAATCGTGATCACGAAAGTCCAGCCGAGCGTGCGAGTTGGCGAAGCGAGGAGTCGAGGAGCCGCGAACTGGTTTTTGTTTGCTGCCCAAGAGCCACAGGGTCAAAAGGCCTTTCCCGCTTCTCCTTCTCCCAGGTCTCTGATTCTGTTCTCTGCAGCTTCTTTGGCTCCTGAGGTCTGGGACGGGCAATGCAGATTGCCAACATGCCGGCACCCAGAATCAAAGCGCACTCTGACTTGCTGTTGCGACAGTCCTGCAAGTCTGCAGGAGGCGGCAGTGCGGTGAGACCATTCTTCCTGATTGCCTGGTACAGCAAGGACTTGGCTCAGATTTTACAACGAAGCGCAAGACGAGCATGAACTGTGCGTCAAATAACTTGACCACAAGTGGAGACATCAAGCTCGCGAGCCCTTTAAGTTCCATATTCCACCTTGATCGTGTCCGGGCTGATTTCGGGACTTGACACACCTTGGCATCCCACAGGCCTCGCTGAGATGCATCTATGCGGCTGCAGCCAGGCAACAAGATCCGACAGAATCTCCATCGTTGGCCAATACCATCTGAGCAGGCGTCCGACTCTATCAAAAACTCACTCGCTCACTGCCGCGTTGGGTTCCTTCGCGAGGTCCGGTCGGACGGGTCGGAAGCTTCGCTTCTCAACGTTTTGACTCTCACACATTGCACTCGTCTGCCACTGTGACATTTTCAAAGTTTGAAGGCACAGAGCAACTGCGAGCTGGAGCAGGCGCTGCTGCTCAGCTTTACGGCTGTGCTGCTCTTGTTCCTGCACCTCTAGATTTCGCTTAGCACCAACCTGCAGCACAACGACGCGATGGCAGACACCACACGCAAGCATCTGAATTCCAGCACTGTGTAGTCGCAACCTTGAGGTGCTAAGATCGCACTGAATGTCGCCAAACTTGGCAACCCATCTCACCAGTTCCACTGTGTCTCAGCTTCGCAAGTCATGCACCTGCCTTCACTTGAAGATGAGGCCTGCGACTTAGCCTAGGCTGACACCGGGCATATGGCTTCTGTGTCTGGCTGCTGGGACTTTGTCTTCTTCGGCATCTTGACAAGCTGCTCCTTGTGGATGACGATCTCGAAATCCGCATCACCCAGGGCAGCCAGCGCCATCATGACCTGCAAGCACACGGTACTTGTAAGAGCTCTCAAGTCAAAACCAGCAAGATCACTTCAGCGTTTTGGGGACCGGGCTGCTTGGAGAGCCTCTTCAGGCACCGAAGGCACTGGAGGTGGTGGCGGAGGCAGAGGGGGCGGTGGCGATCGCGGCGCATTCAACACACCTCGAAGAGCTGCTCAAGCGCATGTCTCAGCAAAAACACTCTCCGCATTCCACCTTCTATCGGACGGCACAAGGTGCTGCTTGCAGGCGGGCAACAATATTTCGGAAACCACCCACTTACTCCAGATGAACTTCCATATAACCAATCGGACTCTTCTTTGCATCCTGATCAAGGCACATGCTCTTCCAAGATCTTCCATGCTCGGTGATGACGGGTCCGCAGTCCTATGTACTCGATCGTAACTTCTTGGCCCAACCTGGGGAAGATGCTTTCGCTCCTGTATTTGACCCGTACCATCATAGCGATGCACCAGGAAAGGCTCATCATTAGATGCCACCGCGACACTCCAAGCCCAAGTACCCTGCATCTGGTGCATTGTACCTGTAGCTGGCAGGGCCTGCTGTTGATTAGAAGGTGGTGGCGCAGGTCACATATGGAAACAATGCAAGCACATTCAAACCCTTTGCAGGATGTAACAACTGCTGCCAAGATGCGGCTGAAGCGAAGGAAGTCGATTCCCCAGGCTCAACGCCATCTCTCGCAGTCTCGGGGCTACATTGCCATCTTGCTATGTCCAACTTCAACCCACCCAATTCCGACAGATGCCAGGCACCGAACAGCGTTAGCTGGGTAGTTAATCGGATACGAACAAGCCGAACAAGCCTAGATTCTCTTTTCTTCCTATTCCATTTTTTCGGAGGTGTCGCCCTCCGTCGCCCTTTCACTGCGAGCCGAAACGCCTAAAAGAAAGCAGACCACCTGAACAAACGGCCAAAACCTGGTCGCCAAGCTGCTCTTGCTCCCGACTGCATACCTTCTTAGAGTCTTAGCTACACAAGCCGCCTGCTTCGACTACAACAAGCAGCCCACGCTTCAGCCAGTACTGTTGTCGGAGACACGTGCCTTCAACCCTTTAGCAAACACATGCTTGCGCAGAGCGCAGTCTCGGTCAGGAGAGAGGGTGGCGTCTGCTGCATCATGCATGCCGCAATCTCGCAGAGGCAGCTGTGTTGCCGGCTCGATGACTTGCGCGGCTTCGTCGATAACTATCTGGCACGAGAACATGCATGCTACGAGAGCAGATGGCCGTGTCTGTCGCAGATCTGAGCCGAAGGCAAAGGGAAACTTTATCTTGTCCAGAGGACCCATTCCGCATCCGATGCAGGTTGCACACACGACCTCGGTTCAAACGGTGACTGGCACTGCACGGCTTTCGGGAGTGCTGTCTTTGGCTGGGAGTCTCCCTGCTCAGGTCTCATTTCGGCCGCTTGCGCCTCTAAGACTCTAAGTTGCTACAAATAGGAAAAGTACAGTCAAACTTATGGAGAACTGCTCCAGGTACGAGCAGAAGTCTTCTCAGCTTCGCTACGCCGATGTCGAGGACGTAGAAGCTGCGTCATTCGCATCTCCAGCTTCGATGGGCCAGTCAGGCTACGTGGCATACCCAATGCGGGCCGGTTGCATAAACCGTGTACCTCTCCTCCAGCTTCTTTTCTCCCAGCTTCCGAACAACTGCTCCGACCAGCGGTGGATCAGCCTTGTGATGACATGCCCTTGAGCTCCTCGTAACGTCGTACAGGTATCTGCAAAGCCATATACGTGACGTCGGGGCTCGGTCAACTGAGGCTCGCAACCTCGACCTCAACCGTTCAAGGGTGTTGCGGCTTCATTGCAGTCTGTTAAGTAGCCTGCTCCTTCAAGCGCTGGAGCCATTGGAAGACTTTCGTGGCTAATGCTACCTCTCCTCTTCGCTTATCAGGGTGCCACTCTAAAAACAGCTGGCGAAGGAGTCGTTGCCTGTCCTCTGCCTCTGCACATGATTGAGCGCGTAGACTCTTCTTAATCGATGCAACAACTGCTGAGAACTCCATGTCATCTTCAACAGCAAGATCAGGAAAGTTCCATGCGAAGCCAGGGAGAGTCTTGGGGGGAATGCGCGAGTAGCGAACCGGCGATGCCTCACGCTGGTTTGTGGAAGGCTGTGGCCCAGCATCCGGTCTCACATCCTCTCCTTCACCCGTGGCATACTCCGCGCCGATGTTGTCAAGCTTGGCATCCGGAAAGTATTCTCTCCACTTCAGAAAGGGGTTCTGGCGTCCGGGCGGAACTTCTAAGGCTTCGGCAGACTTCGCCCCTTGAGCGAGCAGTTGTCTCACCATTGGCTTGGCACACTTTGGATGTCCCGCACGAACACAGTGGCGGCCTATATCTAGAGCGGTGTATGTCTTGTACGCTGCTGAAAGAGACCACTCACGACAAATGACGTTGACATCGAGGAGGTGGTGGAAGCCGAGTAGAAGGTCAAATGCCTCTTGGTTGCCCTCCTCAACAGCGACCATCAATGCTGTCTTTTCCTCGATGAAGTAAAACCGGGTCCGCGCCTCACAAAGGAAGCCCAGCCTTATGCGGGAGTGCAATCGTCGGCTGCAAGGGGGCACGAGGACAGCAACGGCAAAGACAACTACACCAGCACCTGGAGCTATCGATCTTGGTAGCGTAGTCCCGTATCGCCGAGCGACTTTTCAGGAACGATGGTGTTCGGATTCGAAAGCCTGTGTTCGACGGCAGCTCGCAGTTGCCCCAGCAGGCCTTGGCGGACCAATCTCACCAGCTCGTGGTCTTCATGGTAGAGCGATGGCAAACGAAGGGCGGCATAGGGTGGAGAACCACCACTGGGCTTTATCCTTTCATCGCGAAACATCACCACGAAAAAAATCTGACCGCCAGGTGCAAGCTCTGCAGACAGTGTAGCCAGGTTTCTGCATGAGTCGCTTGAAATCTTCATCTTGAGCCGGCGGATTGACCAGGAAGTGCAGCTTTGCATTTCGGGCGGCTACCTGCAAGGCAAGTGACAAGCGACACCACAACCAGAGCTTGTACTTGTACGCTCTGGGCGGAAGCCTCTGGATGGGAGTTGTGCTCCTTGAAAGCGGCCACACTTTGTGCAACGCCACGACGCGACGGCTGAAATCCAAAGTGCTGAAGAATTGGGTATTGCACCTTGAGGGTAGCACGATCTGTTCTTTCATGCTAGGGGAAGTCTCCAGCTGCTTTGAGACAGTTTGCCCAAATCCGGCCTGAGCGCAGGCCTCCTGGCGAGCCTTGACCTGCGACACGTCACAGAGCAGAATCTGAGTCTTGGGGGGGAAGAAGCACATGTGCTGACCTGCAAAAGCTCCGTGCCACCGGCCGCCTCCCAGCGCCGATGTAACTCTGCCTTCAGGCTCTGGCATGCACTCTTACCGAGACGGCGTCTTAGTTTAGGGCCTCGCCTGAAACTCTGGTGCAGAGTATCCAGCAATCAGCATATCTTGCATCTGCAGCGCTTCATCCAGTGCGAGCTTTGGCAGCCCCTGCCCAGGCTTGCACGGGGCTGGTCCTGACAGAGGCTGTTTGGCGAGCACATTGTCCTTGCGTGCTGTCTGAACTGCAGGTCTGGCAGACAACGCGAAGGCAGTACCGTTGATGAAGACTCGATGGCACGAGCACTGGACTATGCAAGCCTTTCTCAAGCCCAAAAGATCCAAAAAGCTACAGGCCGCCGTGCTGTTGGTTCTCAGGCTTCCCCCCCCCACCCATGTCAGAAAAACTTACCATCCACTGTGTCAGAGGGGTAACAGAGGGGCGAGAGCCTCCGTCAGGGTATACTAGACATCTTCATGGCCCGATGGCTCGTTGGATGACTACATACCGCATCAGCATGGAAGCAGTTGGGGCAGAAAACGAGGCCCAGAACCATCAGAACCACACGGGCACGAAGGCCAGCTGAAAGGAAGAACATGTGAAAGTAGCTGGGAGCACACCACAAACAAACAAACACCACCCACGCACACGCACACTCCATACATACATACATACATACAT